TAGCATTTCTATTCTCAAATTACTCATATACTTTTAAAAATCCTGTCTTTAGGCACTTACTCATGGAGTTTAGGAGCCTAATTTTAGGTTACTATTTTTGCAAATATTGGCCTGTTTGTATAAGAGTTCACAATGATTTAGTTAATGTACTGAAAATTTAGACTTTTTTTTGCTAATGTAGTACTATTGCTTTGAAATGACAAAATGATTTTATGCCTCTAAATTTTAATAAAACATATTGGCCCCGTGATTCAAACACATAAGCATAAGTAGGTACACTGAAATCAATGGGATTTATTCATGTGAATTAAGTTTATGCTTGATCAAATGTTTGTGATTGGATTTTAATTTTCAATACTTTGTTTTGTGTACAGCAGTTTTGTAAAATTCAGAAAATATATCCTATCCAGGAGTAGCATTTTTTTAATAAAACAATGGAACTTATAATTTAGTTCGTTATATGTTTTCATTTGAAATTCCAATAGCCCAAATTTTCACATTAGTTTTACAGTCTCATCCTGATTTAAATCAAACATTTTATTTTTTTTTAAATCAAGGGATTGAAAATTACTTCACCTTGCTCCAGTGCCTACTCTACTAAATCAGACTGACTGGCGCACAAGCAACTGAGTCTTCCTGTGTCTCATTTTTCCTACCTGTAAAATAGGGATAAAAATGCTAGCTTACCGACTGTGGTATATGTAGCTATATTATATAGCTGGCAGGTTATACCAAACTGTTTTGTGTACTTGATCTTAACTTATTCCAGAAGGTGAGAAGGAATGTTTGAAGTGACAATGCCTATGCTTTTCCATACTTTATTTTTAAGGTTAAGGATAAGGCTAATATTAAATTTTATGACTTGTTAATGATTGTTTCAGTTTCTTCTTAAAATTACAAAGTTATGAGGCATTTTCCTCCTTAAGTAACTGACATTATTTTCAAACTTAAAACAAATTTTCAGCAGATATGGATATAGGTATGACATCAGTGGCAAGTCATCAGAAATTTGAAATTGTGCTTAACGTTCTACAACTATTTTATAATAATGAAACCTGATGGGAACAAACTGTTTTCAAATGCAATTTTATGCAATGGAGTGCACTATTTGAAAATCTAATTTTATTTCTATCATACAACTTAGTAGCCTCTTACCACCAGTCATCATCTAAAGAAAGTTTCCTGAGTATAAAGCTATGCATTGTTGACTCCAATGAGACTGTAAATAATTACTGAACAACAGAAATCAGTGGAAAGACTTTTGTTTAATTTTTGCATTTTTTCTTGGTTATTATTTGAGGGAAGGCCTAACAGCAAATGCTACAAAAAGGTTGTACAGGTTGGAAAAATAATTTTTATCTTTAGATCATTTACAAGATAGGCATATTACTTCCTAAGGAAAGATTTGTTACACTGTCAGTAAAAACATGGCTACAGTAAGATTGTGTCTTATTGTCAGAAAAGAGAAATGTCCTCTTTGCTCCACTCTGTCACCCCACCAAAAAGGGGGTTCTGAAATTTTTGTTTTGGAAATATTGTAATTTTTTACTGAGACATCCCTGGAGTGATATGGCATGTTTTGATATTCTTGGATTAAAATGCTTCCTTTCAGTTCAACATTAACCTGTGTCCCCTTAGTTGCAGTGATGCTTCATGGAAGCTTGTATGTCATTAATTTGATCTTCTCTATGGGGTGGAGTTCCTGTCCGGATTGTATATCCCATGATGTACTGCAGGAGCTCAGACATATACAGATGATCATCAAGATAATCTGAATTAAAAGTTTCCATTTGAATTGACAACTAAAAATACTTTTACCCAAGGAACCTGAAATTAAAAAAAATAAAAATTTCACTGGTCTATCAAAAAAATTGCAAATTTTTGGCAAAAATCAAAGTTTTCCAGTGAAACATGTTCCATCAAAAATAATTTCAATGGAAATTCCAAAGCACCTCTAGGAAATATCTACAACAATCCTTTATTTCACATATTGCATAGCTATTTTTCTATTTGTATATTATATTTTAGCTTTTCACACTCTGTAAACTAAAATAACACTCTGAGCATCAGGCACAGAAAAGCTGATGATCAGTAGGCTACTGATTCCCTGAGAAGCATATTACATTCTGTAAGCCTGTGTCAAGGGGATTATGGAAGGGTTAAAGCTGGAGGAAAATTTGTGCCAAAAAACAATCACTGATTTTAGATGTCCAATTTGGTTCTGATTTTCACAAGTTCTCAGCACTCCAGTAGACGTTAATGGATAATATGGGTTCTTGCCATCTCTGAAAATTAGGGCTTAGATGTCTAACTCTGGGCATACAAAATCACTGGCCGCTATTGTAAATTGGAAGTGTCTCTTGTTCTCTCAGCCTGAACACTAACTGAAGATAAGCTTTTATTTCTTACCATGAGCCTCTGGATCTTAAAAGAACATGACGTTTTTATAGTAATTTCTATTTTAAAGTAACTGATGGAAGACAGACATCTGAACTTGGCAGTAGCAGAAAGAGTCTCATGCTTGATCTATCACTGCACAGATCAGTCTGTCACCTATTTTATGGGGCTTCAACATTTTGTTTTGACTCCATGGCTACAACACAGATTAAAATGGGAACTATAAAGAAGCACATAGACTCGTATGTTACAAGCAGGAAAACACATACAATACAGGGAAGAGATAAAGCACACAATTTTTTTAAACTCTGCTGTTTATATCCTTGAAAAAATACACAGGAGACACAAATCAACATAAGGCAATATATTGTCAATTACACGCTTTCTTAACATAGCTTGACTTCCATCCCAACAATTTAACACAACATCAACAGCAAGAGGAAAGAAAACGAGTGATTTAAGATCTCTCTGTTTTTAAGCAGGCAAGGGCAACATGCAGAGAACAGTCAGTAGAAACAAAACCACCCCAAAACCACAGGTTAAATCCTACGGTTTGAGCCACGTAGTAACAAACAGAATGAAAGCACTGTATGGTAAGAACTCTATTTAAAAAAAAAGCTGTACAAGGTCAAAGATACAGGCAGTCAGACCCTTGAGACAGAATCTGTACTGTTTGTCAGAAAATCTGTCACTTCAAAGAACTCTACACGATCCTAGTGCCCCAAATGGAACAGAGCCCAGTGATCACCTCACTCTGCCACAAAGTACAGACATCTTAGCTCAGAGCACCAGCAGCTGCATTAGGGGGCTGGTGAAGAAGGACCCAGTCAGGTTCCTCCCCAAAAAGACCATGGTCAGGCAGGGAAATGGCAGCATTTGGCCTTCAGCACCATTCCTATTTCTCCAACAGGATGTGATATGGAACCCTAGTAGCTACCTCTCCCAAGGGAGGAGTCAGATGCTTCCCAGTTCAGAGAATTAGTAGCTTCCCCATGGGTAATACCAGGGTCCCTTATGTTTGGACACAAAAGGCATGGAACTTCTGGGGCCCTAGGTTCTCATGAGGCACCATATCTCAGTGCCCATTTCCTGTGGATGGACCTTTATCCTCTAGAAACACTAGCTCTCTATCTACATGCCTTAGCAGCTGCATGAAAAAGCACTGTCACTTGATGTTAGCAGCATTCACCAGGCTATTTGCACAGGAAAGGAGACTTGCCTGTTGGGAGAGGAAGAGGAGACAGAGAGGGCCTGCAGTATCAGCATAGACAGGAGAAAAGGGAAGATTACATAGGGTATGTCTACACTACCACCCTAGTTCGAACGTCCACGAGGCGTACAGATAGTTCGGATTAGGCTTCCTATTCCGAACTATCTAGTTTGTGCCGCGTGTAGCCGCGGGCACGGAGTCCGCACTAGCGGACATTTAAAAATGGTGGCACCCAGCAACATGCAAATGAAGTCCGGGAAATTCAAATCCCGGGCTTCATTTGCAAGTTCGTATGACTACATTAACCACCCTAGTTCGAACTACGGTGGTAGTGTAGACATACCCCTAGGGTTTGGGGGACTACTAAGCTACATAGCAGGATGAGGTGGATGCTTAAATAGTACACACAGGTGAGAGATGACAAAAGGCACAGAAAGTTATGGGCAAGAGTACGGGAAAATACAGGTAGAAAAAAACAAAGGGAAATCAGACTGAAAATACTTATCGGTGAGCCTGGAAACACCACTTTTTTTTTAATTAAGGCTGCCCAACACATCCTAATCTGAAATTTTGTTTTTGGTTGCTTTCTTAACTTTTCCAAATTTTGTTTGGGCTGAGATTCCTTTATGACACGTTTTCTGCCTCAGGATGAATTCTGTTGGAAAATTTCAACCAAAAGGGTTCAGCTATTTTTGAGAATGGGGCGAGACTAATATGCAATGGCAAAAGAACTTTTTGGCTAGTCTGAGTCTGCACTAAAGCTTTTGTTGGCATAACTACCTCAGTTGGGGATATAATTTTTTCACACTCCAAGTCCTAACTGACACAGCTTTGTCACCAAAACATTGCAGGGACCGCACCATTGAAAGACAGCATTACGTAGGCCCTAAAATATTTTTTGAAAATTTTACCCTGCCCCTCCAACAGCACAGTATTCCCTCACCACCATCATGCTGATGTTTTGGTGAATGGAAAATGTGAAGGAGTCTTTCAGTTTCAAATAGCTTGCCACAGACTGAAAATCCTACCTTGAGACACCAGTAAAGAAAATATGTACAAAAACAATAACCCCCACCAGAAACTAATAAAAATAAATGGACAGTGCACATCTATTTTACTGTGGAATATGAAATATACTCAAACAGGCTCAATCCTGTGTTACAGTAAATCAAAATGGTGCATTCAAACTGACTGTCAAAAGCTTAGCAGCTTGTTTTCCCTTAGCCACTTTTTGGTAAACCCCAAAATGTCAACATTCAAAATATGGAAGCTTCATGGAGAAACTGGAAGGTTTTATTTTTCTTCTTTTATTTCTTTTTACAGTTTTCTGCAGCCCTGTGAAATAGCTCTTTATTTCATGCCCACATTTTTTCCTCTTTGCAGGATGACTTACCCCCAATTCTGTTGGCCACCACAGCACAGGATCCTGTTTCACTCTTCCCTGTAAAGTGAATGAGAAAATGAGCCTGTTTTTGTGGCTGCTGCTGAATTTCAAAAGGGGAGAGGAGTGTGTCTTCAGAACATTGCACCCTCAACCACCCTTAAAGACCCTGCCATCTGATCCTGGGTTAGAGTGGAGAGGACGGACCAAGGTAAAGCACTGGAATTAAACTGGCCTCACAACAAGTGGACTCAGCTGTCAAGAACACTCATATTCCCACGGAGCATCCATAATTCTGAATGTTGACATTGTAATGGTTCTGCCCACTGCTCAAAGCTTCCCTTATTGAACGGGGGATGCATCATGCCCATGCAGCACATGCAAAGCCATGCATGATAATGAGATAAAAGGAAGATAAATTAACTGAAAAAACCCCCAGCTCAATGATCAAACGGAAATACAGTTCCAAATAAATCAAACATGATCCTTGTCTTTTTTCTCTCACCTTCAAGATGGAGATACACCTTGTCTTCTCACTGGCCACCCCCTTTCATTGGAAAGTACAGATTGTGCTATTACAAACCAAAGCAACATAGTGTGGAAATGAAAATGCTATGCCATGCATTCCACTGATCCTTTTTATTCCTCTTTTATATCAAATGCCACACAGAAGCAATGGCTAGGGAAGAAAAATGCTGACTTTTCTGTTCTCAACATTTCTCCAGGCTGCGATAACTAAGAGGAAAGCTGGTCTTCTGTGACAATTCTCCTCTTCCCCACCATTTGCCCTTCCCCCACAAGTTAATGTAATCAACTCCTGTTCTTTATTCTTTATCACACCACCAGACAGAGGACACGCCTAAATTTAACTTACAGTGTGTGTGTGTGTGTGTGTGTGTGTGTGTGTGTGTGTGTGTGTGTCAGAGAGAGAAAATGTCTTTAGAACCTTCACTATAATTTCCTCCCTCAGAGTCCCACTTATTGTTCCTTTCACGCTTGGAAGTAGGCTTACATGAGTTTTCCAGGCTCTTGGTACAAGCAGAGGAGTTGGAGGGTTACTTTTAAAAAAACAAAAACAAATGAACAAACTGGAATTATCTTGTAATTTCTAATTCCCCCCAATGGAAGGGTTTATAGCCTTAGGTTTGGCACCACATAAGGGCCATCTCTTAGGAAAACCTTAAATCAAATCATATCCCCATGTACAGTGAGTTTAAAAGAAGGAACTGAAGTCCTTCTCCTCATCCCCCCTGCACAGATGTTTTCAACCTTTTCTATACCATGACTCTATGTTCACGATAGAAAGCCCACAGGTAAAGGTGAATAATGGAAGAGGGTGCATGTTCCCTCCCCATGCTCCTGCCAAAACTATCCCAATCCCAGTGCAAGCAGCCATAGGTTTATGCTTGTTACAGAGCTTCCTTCTTGTGCTGGGCCTGGAGCTGCTGTTGTAACTTCACCAGCTGGGGGCCGTGGGGAGAGATCAATGAGCATCGGATGCACCCACTACAGCCGAGTCCCCTCAGTGTGCAGTCGCTGGTTCTCTCTCCTAGCTGGACACTCCACTGTTACTTCCCCCACATTCCCAAGCACCACTTGGAGCACAGCCAGGCAAAACCCTTGAGGGGGGAGGGGCTGGATGTGCAAAGGTACGCAAAACTTCCTCAGGCATGTGACCATCAGCAAAGTACAATGACTACAGTGGACTCATGATGAGGACCTTCCCTTTCTATAATTACTGCCTAGCTGATTAGGGAAAGGAGCTATTAATAATAGACAACTCTGGCCCTGGATGCAAGTCCCTTCCCCCCATCTCCAAAGCTTTTCTGCTCTTGTTAATTCGGAGTACAGTTGAATCTCAACATACATATACACAGTATAACATTTTTTATCATTAACAATTTACCACCTCTGTGAACATTATCCTTCTTCTTGCAGTAAATACAGATTTCTTCTTGCAGAAAATTGCCTGTGCTCCCAAGTTTGGGAGGAACTTCATGCAAAGAAAGAAAGACAGATGTATAAATGAAGCGTGCACACAACCTACTAAAGCATAGCTGGAGTTGGGCAAGAAAAAAAAACTGAACAGAAAAGTGATACTCCAGCAAAAGCTGCATATAAAAGGTACTGATTAAACACTGAATTTTCTGTTAAGCACTACCTGTCTCATACAGCACACCACACAGCATGATATTTTTATGCAAAACAATAATCATAGCTCAGAAAAATGAAATCACCTGAGTGAGACTTGAACATCCCTAGCTCTATTTATTCCTGCCTTTGTTGGTCTCTCATTGTATATGTGCGAGAAGCACCTCAAACTTCATTCTCTGTCCCATGATTTTTTATATTTGTATTTCAGTAGCACTTAGCAGCTCACAGAAATTGGAGCCTCATTCTGTGCGGGCACTGTACAAAACTACACCACATCAAAGTCCTTGCTCCAAAAACCAACAAACAGGACAGATAAAGTATACATCACTACAGAGAGGTGAAACTGAGGGCATGGGCAGATGACCATTTTCACAGAATCATAGAATAATAGGACTGGAAGGGACCACAAGAGGTCATCGAGTCCAGCCCCCCGTCTTCAAGGCAGGACCAAGCTCCGTCTACACCATCCCTGACAGATGTCTATCTCACCTGTTCTTAAATATCTCCAGAGAGGGAGATTCCACCACCTCCCTTGGCAATTTATTCCAATATTTGACCACCCTGACAGTTAGGAATTTTTTCCTAATGTCCAATCTAAACCATGCACAGTGACGCCATGCGCATGCGCAGCGGCGCCACGGCGCATGCACGGGGCTTTCTGAAGCGCGGGGCCCGGGGCGGCCACCCCGTTCGCCCTGCCTTGTATCCGCCCCTGGCTGAGGGAGACTGAGTGACTCACTCAGGTTTACACAACTCTGTGATAGAGCTAGCAACTGAGCCTAGCTTTACTGTGTCCCAGGTGAGAGCATTGCGCATAAGACTGTTCTTTGTCTCATGGGAAAGGGCCTGTAGGTGTGTACATATGACAATCTTTTCACTGAGACAAGGAAGATGAGGTAATATCTTCTATTGAATCAACTTCTGTTCATAGAAAATAAACTTTTGAGCTACACAGAGCCTGTCTTCTTCAGATCTGGGAAAGGTATTTTTTCTAGGTACCTTTCTCAGACCTGCAGAAGAGTTCTGTATAAGTTGTGTAAGCTCTCATTCACCAATAGAAGTTGGCCCAAACAAAGATATTACCTCACCCACCTTTTCTCTCTAATAGTCTAGTACCAACATGGCTAGAACAACACTGCAAACAGCCTTTTCATGTGAGCAATAGTAAAGTTATTCTAGCAACAGTATATTTCAAGTAGAAATATCACTGATTACTTCAATGGCCATGACAGATATCAAGATGCCAGAGACATGAGTAAGTTTAGCTTTTCCTCATTCTTAATAACACGGTCATAGACAAATTCATACTGTGGATTTTGATTCTCATTCTTAGCATTCATGATCATTTCATATTCATGTTTGAGTTTCACATTCATTGCAGATTCCTAAGAAAAACAAGAACTAAACATACCTATCACCACACTTCTACTTTTACAGTACTTTTTAGTTTGTAGGCATTACCTGAATCATCTGTTTCAGAGGGAAATTATATTCAGGCTTTTGACTTTTATTTTAAACGTTCTTGCTTTACCTCACACTGTGATGGTACAAAAACCACCACTGCTAATATCAGGGGGCCCTAATCCTGCACCACTAAAATCAGTGTTGTCAAAGGGAGCTTTGCCATTGACTTCATTAGGCACCAGGTGTCAAACATGGAATTCCCTCTTTGCTATTGACCCTTGTTAGTGTTGAAACAGTGATGTCTAAAAAGGCAAATTCCGCAGTGTAAACAGAACCGTAGACAGGGTATTATTGATGTAGTCAACACTACAGCATAACAGTTGTAAACTATTCAGATACTAATGAAGTTGTAATTCAAGCATAGAACCAAGTCACATCATTCTCTTGTGCTCAACTCCAGCCTGGGGAATGATAGGAAATGGAGCATGCAGAAAGAAAGGCAAAAACAGTTGCACTCCTGTAGTATTGTCAATTAATTCCTCAGCTCAGATGTTCACAACCTCAATGTAAGGCAGTGGTCAGACCATGCACTTCCTGGAGAAGTCCTGCCATAGCTTCTTTATTAAGATCATTGAATGTGACTAGATATCTACAGCAGGATTTGCAAAGTGCTCACTACTAAACATTAATGACACCAGAGGTAAGCCAATGCTGAATACTTTTGCCCATTGACTTGAAAAGAGCAAAGCCAGTCCAATGCTGAAGAGAGTAAAGCTGATCAAGGTTTTACCAAAGAAATATTTGTGGGAAAATAACAATTCACCAAAACTACAACTTTTTGCAGGAGAGAGTCAGTTGCATTCAGGTGATTGCATTTTTCAAAATTGTTGAAATATCCTGTTTGATATTTTCAAAATGAAGGGTTTTTGGTTCAAAATGATTTTTTGTTTCTAAATGAAAGTTAATTTATAGTTAAAAATTATTAAAAAAAAGAGAAGAAAATGCTTGACATCTAAATAAAGATTTCTGACGTGATCAAAATGGACCATTGCAATTGGCCCAAAGTGAAATTTTTTTCCAGATATTTGGTTTACAGGGTATGTTTGGTTTTTGTTTTGCAGAAATTTTAGATTTTTGGCCTGATTTGGGATGAGGAAGTTGTTTCCTTCCCAGTTCTAGTGCTCAATACTATTGAAAATTCCATCCTTATTATTACATGTCATATCTTTTGACAACAACCATTCATTTACATATTTCAATAATATCTTAAATATTTGGGAGCCTTCACAAGCCTACAACACACATGGTCATTCGATGTCTGGCCAAACTATTCACACTATTCCTACAGATCTGGAAATATCTGTTTGTCGGAATATCTAGTGAATGTGTAGAGACCTATATATTTCTATATTAAGACAATGTTTATGTATCTTTCAGAGTAGTGAGACATGATTCATAGTCTCATGAAAGGGCTTGATTCTGCTTAGTGACAGCTGATAAAC